CCTATTTTGTTGTTGTTGTTGTTAGTGCTGGTGGTGGTGGTGGTGGTGTTGGTGACGATTATTATCCTATTGTGTGTGTGTGTGTGTGCATGTACAATCCATATAGCAATAAATAATCTTAGTCATATTCAATGTTTCTATTTTATCTTCTATAAAATTAATAGTTTATGTTGTTTTATTCAAAGTCCAGTTATTATGAATAGATTTCTTTTTATTCACAATTTTTCTCACCCATATTCAGTTTTTAGTTTATATGTACGTTGATACTCATTGTATTTCTACTGTATAAAACCCTTGGGGTTTTTTAATATTTACTGATTGACTTATTATTCCTCTTTTAAACATTTATTCTTTCCTTACCACCACTTTCTCTCTCTCTCTCTCTCTCTGTGTGTGTGGATGTGATTATCGACCTGACAGAGTAATAGGATGTTAATAATGAGAGGGGTCAAAAGGTGGAAAATCTCATTAAAAGTGATAATTTAACAAAAAGAAAACTTGAGGAATTTTATTTTTAAATGCACACCAAATACTTTCATATCATCAAGATATTAGCACTCTATGTTTTAAGTAATATCAAAAGGTTTTTTTGTGGATATTATAGTAATTTCAATAGTTGAGATCATAAGTCAATTGAAGATAGACCATCATGGAAAACCTTCAAATACTGGACGGCCATTTCATCCTATTGTGAGACTCCTTAGCAATGCCGTCCAGTGTTTCCAGGTTTTCAGTGGTGGTCTAACATCAATCAGTTCATGATCTCAATCACAAAACCTAATATTTTCCACAACACCATACTGATTATAATTTTGTTAAACTGACTCATCACCGTCTAATTTGTATCGACTTTCTACTCACTTATAATGCATATATGTTAGTGTAGAACCTTGATGAAGAACTGATTAGAATGAAAATTTTTTTCTCTCAGCTTGTCTTTTTAATGCCTCAATTACAATATTTAATAAATTTTTATTTGCTGTAAAAAGTTACGAAGTATTTACATAACACATACATATAGCCTTCAATCGTGTATTCGCATCTTTCGGTGTGCTTTTCCATCTGAACTGTCTTCTCGTCTGATCTCCAAGTGTTCTACCAACGTCCTGCTTTCGATTTACTGAAGTTCTTCCCTTTGTCTGACAATTGTACAATCGACTCCACATTCCGCTACATACTACACACAAACAGTCCTGTTAGTAGCGTTTATCACACTTGTTCCTCTTTCGAATTTTCGAGCCTGCAGGTCTTCTGACCTCTGTAGTTCTGTTTTCACTGCCTCCGGTTTGTCAATCGACTAAACCCACTTTAATACTAAAAACATTTATTTATTTACTTTAACACGTAGATATTAGTACAAGGAGGCACCAAATACATATGCGCCGCACAGATCTCATTTGGTATGTGTGAAGGCTGTGATACTGCCCGGGTGCCCAGACTGAAGCAGGTGGTTTTCTTAGGGAGCCACATCCCGAACCTTTGACCTAAAGGTCTGACCCACAAGGCAGTGGAACATCGTAGGGAGTTGCAGTTCCATGGTAGCCGGTGACCAATGATTGGTTCATACGCCATTTGTTCCCACAGGGTCCTGGAGCCCATATGCACGATTGGTTTAGAGTCCGGTTAATGCGCCGGATATTCGCTTTTCGTCCTCTCATCTTCGTAAACAACACCCCCGCCAGTGAGTAGGAATTCCCTGGCAGAGGCTATATAAGCGTGGCCGTGTGAGAGCATTTCGAGAGGGCGAGCGGACTCCCCACTCTCGGCCGTACCAGGGCACTTGGGGGCACTTAGAACATCACATATCTCACATCTAACATACAACTTAATACATAAAAAAATTATTCTAACTTAGGAGCCTGTATTTGGATATTTATACTAATTAACATCTGTTGCCTACCTACATTATTCCATAGCTTTTTGTGAAAATACAGAGACAAATATGTGTATATCGGAATCTTTCTAACAATCTAATGTTTCATAGAAATTAATATCAGTGCATACAAAACCATTATTTGTCATTTCAGGCTAATTACTGTTTGTATATATGTAACAATTTATTCTAGAAGGACTGTACCATATTAAAATTTCCTGCTTTCATAATCAGATTACTTTAATATATTTAAGGTGTATACTCCTTCCTGACAGTTATGAATAGTAGTAATTCACAAAGTATGAAATGATAATGCAAAAAATCTTCAGACTTTCCAACAATATAACATAATTGATTCGTTGCTATGTCGTTTCTTTCTTCTCTTCTTTTATAAGTCTCAGTGTGAAATATATCAATTAGTAGAAGAAAATTATTCATAATTTTTAATAAGGTTCATTCATGCGTATGACTACATTGTCAATGAAGTGAAGTTTAACAATATGACTAATTAAGTTCTTATCAAAAGATAGTAATCATCCCATTTCATTGCTAATAATCTTCCAATTATAGTCAATCTATGATGAGAACTATCTTTTCCCTTAATCATAGTTCTATACCAATAATTATATATATTTATACATAAAGTTTACTTTAGTCTTATAGACAAAAAATGTTTTACGACTAATCTCTTCAGTATTAGATTTTTATCATTTAATATTATACTACTCATAATTCTATTGATTGACAATCAATTTTACTACTTATACTCAATAGAAATAATCAGTAAATTAATAATGATAAATTCCGTTTCACCATGCCTTCTTATGTCAATCAAAATTAATAATATTTTGTTTAAATGAATTAATTCATGGTTCAATGATTATATAATATGTAGATTGTAATCTTAACAAAAATAAACATATACTCACTAGTGACTAGCTTCAAGAGGTATTTCCTGAAGTTCTCGTGTGAAGCAGTGATCAGTGGAGTTCAACTGGGTGTTTTGTGAGATAGTAACTCGCTGATAACAATGGTGGATGCGTGGATTAGTTGGAGTTACACATTAACACCGTTGCATGTCAGCCGGTTCAGTGGTCTAGTGGTTAAGCGCTCGCGCGCGAGGCTGATAGGTCCTGGGTTGAAATCTCGCGAGGCAGTGGGATGGTGGATGCGCACTACTAAGGAGTCCCGTACTAGGAATAAACGACTGCCCAGTACTTGCAGGTTTTCTATGGTAGTCTAGCTTCAATTGATCCATGATCTGAATTATTAAAAATAAATTTCTCATTGTGTTTAGAAATACTCGTCGCTTGTATGTATTACATTTTTGTATATATATTACCACCATTGAATTAACTACTTTATGAATCCGATGTTGATCTTGTTGTGCTAATGAGGTGTAACAACTTGGATCGATGCATATATATATATATATATATATATATATATATATATATATATATATATATGCCTGGTCCTACGTTGTAGCTGACTGACATTTTTCTATTAGATTAGAGTTTTTCCCTTGTTGTGTACGATTATTTGTGTAACATATTTGATTTTAAATAGTAATTGATTCAATCAAAATGATTCTATTGTATTGAAAGGTGTTATGTCATCAATCACTTTGAATGCATAAGTTCTATCGATCAAATGTAATAGGATAAATTAGGTATCATTACCAACGTTTAATTTGATAATTTCGAATAAATTGAGCATTGGGTAGATTGTTATAATTAAATAAATAAATAAATAATATATTTGTAATACCTCAATGAGTAGAAAAATTAGATTTTCTGACGTTTCGTGACTTAGTATGAGTCACTTCTTCAGAGAGTAAATAACCAAATTAAAATTAATCCAAGTTTAAATAGTACAACGGAACAATGCAAGAATAATAATATGTGATCAATTAAAGAACAGATCTAACTAAGTTCATGTCATGTCATTTCTGTCAAGGTGATTTGTAACTGATATGTATGTAAATTTGTGTGTATTGTTTAAGAATGAAACATTGTGAGATGACAGTGTGAATTGTAAATAAGATCATACTGAATGGCTAGGATAGATAGTCCAAGTAGGATTAAGCATTATGTGGAACGCCTCAGCTACCCTCCTTTCTTTGTAGTTGGAAAAGCCTTTTTGCAATATTTTGATATTTTTAATATCGATTTGGTGGTTGTTGAAAATGGCATGAACTGCTATTGCCGATTTAATTTGAAGTTGGTTCAATTCTACGGGATTGTTAGGAGGTTTATTTGTGTATCTAATATGTTCTTTGGCTCTAGTCAAGATTAAGAACAATTCTTCTTACATCATTCGAATTATATCTTATTGCTGATGTTTTCTTATCTTTCTTCCTTTCTTTGATGTTTTCGAATTTTTTAATTTGTCGGCGTTTCGATGAATTTAAATAATGACGTTCTCTTTCTATAAACAGGTTAGAAATCATGATTCGTAATTTGGTAGAAAGAACTCCAAACAACCTTAAAACATCACAGAATTAAAGTGTATTACAAAACAACGAACACACTTCGAAGTACTATAGTTCGCTTAAAAAAAATCCCTTTCATGTCCATACAGAACTGCGTCTACAAATTAGGTTGTATCGATTGTGATGCCTTCTATATTGGAGAGTCTTCTCGAGAAATCTTGACTAAAGCCAAAGAGCATACTAGGTACACAAAGAAACCTCCTAACAATCCCGTAGAATTGGATTAATTTCAAATTAAATCGGCAATAGCAGTTCATGCCATTTTCAACAACCACCAAATTGTATTTAAAAATATCAAAATATTGCAAAAAGGCTTTTCCAATTACAAAGAAAGGAGAGTAGCTAAAGCTTTCCGTATAATGCTTAATCGTACTTCTCTCAATTGAAAAGGCCTTACCATACATCCTACTTGGACTATCTATCCTAGCCATTCAGTCTGATCTTATTTACATTTCACACTGTCATCTCACAAATTAATAAACTCTATCCTTTCTCATCATAAATGTCACACAATGTTTCATTCTTAAACAATACACACAAATTTACATACATATCAGTTATAAATCACCTTGACCAAAATGACATTTTTGTATCCAACACTTTATATTTTGTTTTCTATTTCTGTTAAACCAGATTTATCCGCATGGGGTTGCAGTTAAACATATGCACGGTCTATTTCGATCTGTTGGAATTAATAACTGTGCTGAACCTGGCAATCGACTTCATTCACGATTTTATGTAAGCTTATCATTGTCAGTACTTATATATATAATTTATTAATATTAAGCTGTGAAAACTTTATAAAAAATGTTTGATAATAGCATTATTATTATGATATGCCCCCAAGTGCCCTGGTACGGCCGAGAGTGGGGAGTCCGCTCGCCCTCTCGAAATGCTCTCACACGGCCACGCGTATATAGCCTCTGCCAGGGAATTCCTACTCACTGGCGGGGGTGTTGTTTACGAAGATGAGAGGACGAAAAGCGAATATCCGGCGCTTTAACCGGACCCTAAACCAATCGTGCATATGGGCCCCACGATCCTAAAGGGACAAATCGCGTATGAACCAATTTTGGGTCACCGGCTACCATGGGAATGCATCTCCTTACGATGCTCCACTGCTTTGTGGGTCAGACCTTTAGATCAAAGGTTCGAGATGTGGCTCCCTAAGAAAACCACCTGCTTCGGTCTGGGCACCCGGGCAGTATCACAGCCTTCACATATATTAAATGTGATGTGTGTGGCGCATATGTATTTGGTGCCTCCTTGTAGCAATATCTATGTTGTAAAATAAGTAAATAAATAAATTATTATATGCTATTGATTTATACACTTTGTTTATTAAATGAAGAAAAGTGTTAAGATCTCAATATCCTTTTAATATTTCTATTAGTTCATCCCTTTTCTAATTAAAAAAATTGATCCTTTCTATTTAGATCCATATAGATCATGATTATTTATTTCAAAGCTTATGAGATTGTTATTATTCTCAAATAATATTAATCAGTAACTTTAAAAATTTCTAGCAAAAAAAATATTCATTTTTCAAAACAGTAAATTATCTGCCCCCCCTCCAGTATAAATAAAACAAAAAAAGTATTTGGTGCCTAAAATTATTTGTTATGGATACTGTTACTAAGGCTGTGAATATTAATAAGCAATTAGTTTTAATCTAACTTATTCACTTTTATATTGTTTACTTGATTGTTATTATTATTCTGATTGGTTATTCTCCATTGGTGAATAGTTTCTCTTATCGCTTATGTATATACTTTTTATGTATCCTTTCACCATCTCTTATAGTTATAATTCAGAGATTAAAAAGACTGTTCTTTCAGAGTACTCGAAATAAATATCACATCATTTTTTCTTTAGTAACTATCACATCACCTTCTGACATCAGATAGAGGAATATTTAAAATTACAGAACACTAGTTATCTGTTATACGGCCCCCAAATATCTTGGTACGAACGAGAGTGAGGAGAGTCAGCTCTCCCTCTCCAACTGATTTCACATGACCACATGCATACAACCACTGACAGGGAAGTCCTGCTCACTGCTTTCTCGCCAAGGAAGTGTTGTTTACGAAATTGAGAGAACGAACAGCGAATGTCCGACACTTTAACCGGGTTAGTGGATACGGAGAGTTCCACCTAGGGGAGTCGGAAAACCATGATTCCAAGCAAATGGTGCACTTCTGCTCCAATATCCCGAAGGAACAAGTGACGTATCAACTTATTATTGGTCACCGACCACTATGGTAATTCATCTCTTGAAGTTGCTCCACTACCTTGTGGATCGAACCTTAGGGTCAAAGACTTGAGGTGTAGCCCTTTAAGAAAACCACCCGCTTCGGTTTGGGCACTCGGGTAGTATCCCAACCCTCACACAAATCGAATGATTTATGTGGCGTATATCTATTTGATGCCTCCTTGTTATAATGTTTATGTGTTTAAATAAATAAATATTTTATGTTGCTCATTCATAAAACCCTTTCTAGTCTAATGATAATTTCTTACCTGTTGAATACAAATTCCTAAATAACTTTAAGATAAAACATGTGTAACAAACATCACATAGTTGATAATCATGGTAGATATTCTTGCAGTTGTTATTAAATACTTCCTCTAAATTGGGATAATACAATTTCCTACTCATATTTTCATGTTATTCATCCTGATAAGATTTTTTTTAGTTCATTTTCTGTAGAGATGTACTACTGAAAATGTAATAAGTAGTTAACGAAAGTTTCACATTTCATGTTTTCATTTTTATACGTCTTATAGTAAGGACTTTATACTTGTATACACCAACTGTCCACATAGCCTCATACTCACATGTATACAAGAATTATATATATATATATATATATATATATATATATATATATATATATCCAACATTTTAATTGTAGATTCTTCAATTGTTTTCACCAATTTAATGATTCATGTGTTTTCCGTGTATGTACGTATCGATATTGCTTTTTTTTCTCTTGTAAACTATCATTGTTATTGTACATTGTATTTTCCTCCCTTTTCTCTTCATTCCCCTCTGTGGATAACTGTATATTTGTCTGACCTCAAAATTTACAGTCCTACAAATAGGCTATTGTAGTTTTTGTCTCTTAAATGACTCAGCTGAAATTGAGGATTAGGTTAAATGCTTATCTCTTTAGACAGATAGTATCATTATTTTTGATTTTTTTTTATTTATTAGTAGTGCTATTAGTTGTTATTGTTCTTCTTGTTTGACTTGTGTTTCCGTTCAACCAGATGGTCTAATAATAAAAAATTCTTTCATTTCTTTTCAAGTGTAAATAATTAGCAACAAATGGAAATGTTCATTGTATCTGTATATCATTAATATCGATTAGTTATAGATGAAAGTTTTTCTTATTAATTATTGTGTCATAAATGAGAGTACTACTGATGAATCTACTTCAATTATTGAAAAAAAAAGTATTTAATTTTGGATACCGACCTAGTGGTCTAGAGGTTAAGCACTCGCATGCGAGACTGAAAGGTCGTGGATTCGAATCCCACGAGGCGATGAGGTGTTGGATACGCATTGCTGATGAATCCCACAATAGGACGAAACGTCCGTCCAATGCTTCCAGATTTTCCATGGTGGTCTAGCTTCAATTGATTGATGATCTCAACTATTGAAATTAATTTTGAATTGTTTGAACTGACTATTATAACCTTGAGCTTCTTGGCGAATTCCAAATTACGTAACCTTTGAATTTATTTTGATGAATATATTTTCAATTCTTTAAATAAGAATTTACTTTTCGAAATCTGTAGGAAGGTAGAGAATGATTATATTTGTGCCATAATGGCTATAATCCATAGCTGTACGGTATTTTTTTATATTTATTTAAACATATAAATGTTGGTACAAGGAGGCACCTAATAAATCATTCGATCTATGTCACGACTGGGATCCTGCCGGGGTGCCCGAACCGAAACAGGTGGTTCTCTTAGGGGGCCACACCTGGGGCCTTCGACCTAAAGGTCTCATCCACAAGGCAGTGGAACTACGTAGGGAGATGCATTCCCTTGGTAGCCGGTGACCAACGATTGGTTCATACGCCATTTTTTCCTTTAGGATCGTGAAGCCCATATGCACTATTGGTTTGGAATGGGGGTTTTCCAACTGCTTTAGGTGAACTCTCCATATCCACCAACCCTGTTTAAGCTGCTGTCGGACATTTGCTTTTCGTCCTCTCAATTTCGATTCTCCTCACTCTCGGCCGTACCACGGCATTATGGAGCGCTCCACGGCTTTGCGTGTCGTCCTTGCGTAGGGGGCATGCTAATATTACCTGTAATGATGAGTGTCTTTAAACAGTCACCTATATTGTAAACCAGGTTTGAGTGCTCTAGTCAGTAGATAAATATTATGTCCCTTTAAAACCCAACGCTATTATCAATGTATATATTTTGAAAAACCGGTTTGTTTTTAAAGATACATTTCATCCATTCACTGTTAAATGTTTTTTAATATAAGTCGTCTGCACCATTTCGTCGGTTTCAGTAAACTTAGATATATCGACTTTCTTAATATTCATTTACTGTTGTATTGTATACCTATTGATAAAATCTATCTATCATTTAAGCTATCGAGTGTTGTAGTATAGTAGCAGCTTTGATAATCTAGTCAACAAATTGGTTAACCGTTCCAACAACATTATTTCACGTTGAATTCTGAAAAATTGTTCTTGTAAATTTCGACCTTTGAGTTAAGTTAGTGTCAAAAAAAAATACTCAGAACTAGACGTAGTATCTGTCCAGTTATGTCTGATTTCTAAGTGTCAATGATGAAAGTAGCAGATGTTACGCATAATTTACAAAGTGGCTTTATGAAACTAGCTATTCTGTTTGTTTATACTTATCAGTAAAATGTATAAGAATTCTCACACAAGATATTACCATCAAGCCATTGTAAACGACTTTATCTAACGTATCCAAATGATGTGTTACTTAAACAAGTGGAAATATGATATCAATCTGAGTCATTTTCGATTAGTATGACATGGGTTACCATTCACTGAACAACTTGAGCGACTCAAGAGCCATAATACTGTTTGCATTATGTTATGGTTTCACTAACTTTCAAATATATGAATTATTGTACTCTGATTTATCGATTGAGTTGTGCGTAAATATTCTGTATTGGTTCTTATATTTCATCGTGGATGCTTATTATCAATGAGCCTTAGATGAGAATAGTATAGTTGTATAATATTTCTAAATTTTAAATGGTTTTTTATATTGTCATTCAGTAATTTAAAAGAATTGTCAGTATAGGGGTTGTGGTGATTATTAAGTTTTTGATTAAGATCATGAACTGATTAATGTTAGACCATTATTGAAAACCTGGAAACACTGCCAGCTCAGTAGTATTCGCGCACAAAACCTATAGGTCGTGGGTTCAAATCATATGAAGCGGCGGGATCGTGGATGTACACTGTCAAGGAGGAGTCCCATGTTTTCAGATTTGCATTGATGATCTAATATCAATCGGTTTATGATCTTAGTTTAAAAGGAATTATCAAATAGATTTGTTCAAAATGATTATGTTTTATTTTAACTAGTAATCACTGCTTACCTTTATATGTACCCCTTGTTTTGTTTTTTTTGTTTTGTTTTGTTTTGTTTTTTCTAGTTTCTATTCAATAATCCGAAATATATAAGTAGTATATTAATGTGTCTTTTATTATTTAGTATTATGTATCAATGTATTTGTTCATATTGGATATATGAATGGTATAAATTAATTGGTTTAATTATAGATGCATTATTTTGTTTTCTTAATTTATATTTACATTTACGTAATTTAATTTTAATACATTTTGTTTATTCATCATCAAAAGAGAAATTATGTAATATGACAAATTATTTAAGTCATTCATTAATTCATTTCTTTATTACTACTACTACTACGGCTACTACTACTACTACTACTACTACTACTACTTCTTCTTCTTCTTCTTATAATAATAATAATAATTCATTTACAAATTCTATGATTAATTAACTTTCTTATTTGTTCTTCTTCTTCTTCTTCTTCTTCTTCTTCTTCTTCTTCTTCTTCTTCTTCTTCTCATATCAATCTATATTTAATTCATAATTATGATACTTTTATTTTATTTTGACAATCATGAATTATTTTTTGTATTTCTTAGTGGATCAATATCTTCCCCTCATTGTTTACTCTCAAGGTGTATATTCCTTGTATAAATCTATGAGAATATTATATTCTGGTTACTACATGGTTACTACATCTTATACTTGTGCTTTTTTATATATTTTTTTGTTAATAAAATAATAAATAAATATGGTTTTACTACAATGAATACTTTTGTAATACTTAATTATTTACTCCTATTACTCTCAATGAAGTATCCGCCAACTGACCAACATTCTTCAACCCACTCTGTCTTGAGCATTCTTTTCTACTTCTATCCAATTGTTGTTCATTCTTCTCATATCTGTCTCCATTTCTCGGTGTTATGTGTTTTTTTAGTCTTCCTCTCCTTCTTTGGCCCTGAGGATTCCAGGTAAAGGATTGCCTTGTGACGCAGTTGGATGCTTTCCTTAATATGTGACCTACCCATTTCCACGCTTCTTCCTCCGTTGGGATCTGGTTTGTTCTTTCCCACAGTAGCTTGTTGCTGATAGTGTCTGGCCAATGGATCTGAAGTATTTGTGTAGATACCTGTTAATAAACACTTGTAATAAATAAATAAACAAGAATATGAAAGGATGGTGCTGATAGCGAATAGGCTATTTAATTTATCTTAGTTTCTGATGAAGATTACGATCAACATCCTTTAAAGCTCTACATCACATTTGAAAACAATCTCAGAACCTTCGATGATATACGCCTTAATTATATCAGCAAAATGTTTCTTCTGTTGTATTTTTTCTTGCCCTAAATACATAAACAGTCATTATGATGACTGGTTTTTACTTTCATAAATTCAAATAAGTATAAACAATTTCAGAATGCGTTTTTGTGGATATTATAATAATTTTAATAGTTGACATGGTGAGTCAATTGAAGCTCGACCAACAATAAAAAACTTGGAAACACTGGACGGTCGTCTCTTCCTAGTATGGAACTCCTCAGCAGTTTGCTCGCACAAGCCCGCTTCGCGGGGCTCAGATCCAGGATCGAAATCGTCGATGAAGATAAATGATCATTGAGATCACTCAGCGTAAGAGGACCAGAATTACAAAGTTTGGCATAAGTTGCAATGAAATAAACAGTATTACAAGTTGATTGAATGTGTCCAATCATACCACATTTAAAACATTTAGCATTAGGAAATACACATGAATTACATGGGTGAAACTAGTCACAGAACAAACATTCACCAAACTTGTGCTCTTCTTTGTGACCTGCTTCGCAACTCAATGAATTACCTGCATATCCTTGAGTACGCATTGGATTGGTATGACGTAGCAATGCAGTGGAATTTTCGATGTCCTGACGAGTCATTTTTCGAAATTTTTGTACTGTACATGATCTAGCAGTAGCTCCTTCACAGTTGCATAAGGAAGTGAAATAAGATTTTCTGGAAATGCCAAAGTTTTTAATAAGCTGTGTGCTTTTCCAATGAATATAATCCTAAAAAGTACCAAAGTTTGAATGTCCAACTCTCCCATCACAGGCCCCCTAGCGATGCCAATGTGATGATTAGAAGTATTTGAATTATTATACAAACTAGGAATACTCGAAATAGCGCAATTTAAGTAGACAGAACAAGGTGAGAAAACCCGAACGTATTGTATTTGCAATTCGAAATCAGGCAGTCATCAAGTACCAAGAAATAATTAGGTCATACAAACACCACACTAAGATCTCACAGTCTGAAGTATAGATTTGAAATAACACAAAAGTGGAGAAGCTTAAATGTTTCTGATAGATTTATTGTGTTAGTTGACGTCTTACGTTTTTTTGTTTACAAAGCTCCGTTTGCAAGAATCCATAAAAATCATATGCTGAACTCTTAAAATTCTCCCTTTACCGAGTAAATAATCCTAATAGCTCCTGTCCTCTGAAGGTGTACAATTCCAGTATAATAATATGATGTACCCGAAATTCATGAAGCTTCTATAATAACCTCCTAAGTTCATTCCTACCTGATATACGTATGTGGAACTTGTAACAGATGAGTTTAAACAATCAATCAATGGAACATTATTTTGCCTTACATATAGTGTTGTAATAGTTTGAAGCATCCTACATGACTACTTAATTTATTCAAAGAATTACATAATGAAATAAAATTTAGTATTGAGCACGATGCCGAAGAAAAATCCCATTTCTTAGATGTGAAATTCAACAAAATATAGGAGGGAAACTGCAAAAATATATCCATTGTGAAAGTACACAGTGTAGAGTTTATATAAACTATAGCAGCTTCTGTCCAATCAGTTGTAAAAGAGGGATTGTGTTGACCATTTTTGACCGTACTCATAAAATCTTTTTAGAAGGAAAGACTGTAAGAATATCTACGCGAAAATGGATACCGATCGAAATTCATCGATAAGTATGCTAAAACAAATGAACCCACTTAGTATAAATCAGTTGGAAAGTCATGTTTCTTACACCTAAGCTCAAAAAGCGATAATGGTAATGTTATAACTTGTGCCCTGTGTCCTATTAATGTATAACGTAACGATACCGCCACAGACAGAACAGTGAATTATCGATCGAACCAATGACGCATAAAACACGTACAAGCAGCCTAGAGTCCTTTCGGTCCTACTTCCTGTCTAGCCCAGCCTGTTAAGTCCAAAACACCAATCTCGGCCTCTGCGATATGAATCATGTATTTCAAACATATTAGGTTTATATACAAACCAACCAGACCATATCGTATCATAAAATAATGGTTTGAATTATTTTTTCTGGTAAGCGTTTTTTTAGCGAGTTAGTTTTCTACGGGATGGGGACGCTAACCCCATGCCCAACTACCCGGGCTTGGGACCGGCAGTAACTCTAGAAGAGCTACAAGCGGAGTTCGTATCATTAAATAGCAAACAATATTTAGTCAAAAGTGGCTGTGAATGTGAGAGGTAATAATTGATAGATAGGTCATCAATTAAGAATGGTAAATCGTATAATAATAGTTCATAGATCAAAATGAAGCTTATGATAGGAGGAACACCAATATGAATATACGATAAAAATATATGTATATTATTAGTCCATAAAGAGATTTCAAAAGTTACCATTCATTCTTCTCATCGGGATACAACACCTCTTTTTTGAAGATCCAGAGTTGATACCCGGATTTTAAATTTTCCAAGTTTATCCTCCCCCGCGAAATACTGTTGGATCATCATATTCCCAAGTTACATTTAACGTGACTCTATTTATATTTCCTGTATTGAATAGAGAATCTGCTAGAACTGACTGGATGGTGAGGAACAACAACACTTGATATGAAGTCATCAGAGTTTGATTCTCCTGAAATATTTACATCAAATTTATTGAAAACCTCATTAGTAGATGATGGATCATTAGGTTAAGCAGCATCTATAAAAATTGTATTAGGTTTCTGATCATCATTTGATTCATCTGACAAGTAATAATAATTATAAAATGAGTGTTAGCTTGAAGATTGGTTATCAAGTGAGGAAGCTCATCTCATTGTATGAAATGAGCTGTCCCCTAAAACAGGCAAAAATCGACAAGTGTAATTTCCTCATTACCTTCAACCAAATTATTCAATTACACAGTATGTGTACAAATATTAGAAGAATAAAGAGGAAAGTACATGTTCTAAAGAATCTTATATTAAAGGGTACTACAATTATGAATAGGCCAACAGTTTGATAATTAATGAATAGCAGACATATTACCAAACTTCATGTTACAAATAAACAAACAATATAAACTTTAAGTTTCACTAAATCAAACGCTCACAATAAGTCAAACCAAATTTCTATAATTAGAAATAAACAGTTATCAACCTACGAGTACCATAGTAAATTCACAATTGATTGATCACTGGGTGGTGATCAATGTCATACGTGTCTGGTCCTTATTAGTGCAGATCGAATCCTCCAGGGAGCACCAGTTCCCTCAAGATTACAAGTACACCTTGCTGACGAGTGCCAAGTAGCACGAAACCCGGGTCCAGGGTTTCCTGTTAACTACCACCAACCACCATCTAAATATCATAGTAAATTATTATTTTTGATTCAAATCATGTTAAATGATGAATATGATTTGCATATTGTGTATGTACTCTCTGCTTACCTGAAAGTTACTTTCAAAATTGTCCATTTGTTAATTTTTACTCATTAAACCAAGAAAAAGAAAAAAAACTAAAACGAACTTCAAATCTCATACGCAACTTTTCTCATCAATTTTCAAATTTATAAGTCAATTAAAGCTAGACCATTATAGGAAACCTGGAAACTTTGGATGGCTGCTTCGTCCTATTGTCATACTCCCCAGTAGTGTACATCCACGATCACGCCGCATCGCGAGATTCGAACCTAAGACCTATCGGTCTCGTGCACGAACGCTTAACCTCTAGACAACTGAACTTACCGGCATCCAATAGTGTTAATGTCTAACTTCAATCAATCTACGAAATTGAGCCACCGTCTAGTGCCTCCAAGTATACCATGACTCATGAATTCATTCATTAAATTACTGCAATCTCTACAAAACCTCTCTCTGATTTTAATCATTAGAGTATGTGGTTGTCTAACTTAACTCAGTTCGTGATCTCAATAACAAACAGATATTATGTCGAGTTTAATTGTTAATGATGAACATATGTAAATTCTAATGATACACACATATTTACGGTGAGGCATAAATAAAATGAGTTACGGGATGTTAAAATCTAGAATATCATGATCTCAACTATTGAAATTACTGTAATATCCATAAAAACCCCTTCTGATTTTAATTAGCACATGCTCACTAGTGACTGGCTTCAAGAGGTATTTCCTGGAGTTATAGTGAGAAACAGTGACGAGTAGAGTTCAACCGGGTCTGTTGTGACATAGTAACTCACTGATGACAATGATGGATATGGATTAGTTGAAGTTAGACATTAACACCGTTGGATGCTAGCCGGCTCAATGATCTAGAGGTTCTGGGTTGGAATCTCGCGAGGCGGCGGGATCGTGGACGATAATAATAATAATAATAATAATAATAATAATAATAATAATAATAATAATAATAATAATAATAATAATGAGAAACCACGAAAATGAAATGAATTCATGATATTCTACCTCAATCACTATTCTCAATTTATGATTATCAGAAAAAATCAATCTATCATCATTACTTTTTCAATTCTATTTCAAGGTCAATTCAAAGAATTTAAAAATCAATCAATTAAAAATATCAATATAATAAATCAATAAAATTTGTATCATAATTTAAATATTTTTTTAAAAATTATTATTCAAGTGGCCCAAACTCTATTTCAAAGAAGATACTTACTCACAGAACTCAATATAAAAATAACATAGAAAAATGGAAAACCTTTCGTCATGGTAACTAGGATATGTTAAAAGAAACTATTGTTCTTGTTTTATTCTTTTTTAATTGAACATATTTATCTTGTATACAATAGTTCCGGTTGCTGTGGCAACGTATTGTATAGATTTATGTTTTGTAAAACCATATTGTCGTCAAAACGTTTTTACTTATTAGGTAAAGTGAAATAGAATGAAATGATTGGAATTTGTGCAATTTTTACCTTTTGTATAAAATAAGAATAATATTCACATTTATTCATATATCTATCTCTATTGAAAAGTGAAGGTGGGTTTCATAAATAAATTCTTATCATTGTTGGTAGGGCGTGTCATTGGTTGTTAAGGTTAAACAATGATACATTTATAATGGAGACGGAGAGAGAGAAAGAGAGAGAGGGAGAAAAGATTCACAATAATATGAGTAGGCAATTTGAAAATGTTTAATAATTTAGTAAAGTAAACAAACAAAAGTGTTTAAAT